TATTCAACTTACCAAGAGAGTGCTCCATATTCAGTGGAGAAGCGATTGGAATAATAAAGGCCTTTTATTGGATATCGAATTCCAAAGAAAAAAAAAAAATTAACATACTCATCAAAGTTGGAGTAATGTTCAACTTTAGTTTTCATATATATGAAATTGATGAACTAGTTAGTTCCGATAACTCACCACTTCTCTGATTTAATTCCTTCCCTAGTATAAGAGATTTCATTTAAATATATAATTATAATATTACAGCGTTGACATTGTGGATTCGGATGGATTAGTTAAAAACAAATCTAATTTCGACTAAGATTGATCAATATTGCACGCTAAATTATATAGATATTAATTTTATATGTAGTTTTATAGTATTAATTTTTTCTCTTCACATTAGTAATCTAAAATTTTATTTTGGAAGTCTTGATTATTAGGCATTTATACTATTTTATTTTTGTATTGAAAACTTATAATTATATTTTTACTTACTAAATTCTGTTTTCATATTATTTTTCTGGCACACCTGTCAGTAATTATTACTTATAAGGACAGGCCATACTGAATGGGTCACCGATTTCAACCACTTTTTTTTCGGTTATACTACATTCCTTTTTATTTTCACTTGCCGTGTGAATATAGTATATAGTATAATGAATGTGATATATAGTAAGGGATAGTATTGCGATCGTGGAGATTTTCGAATCTGTGTTTTCAACGGAATACACGTTTTGAGGTCCCTTGATTCTAAATAACCAAATCCCCCAAAACGGTCTGTGCGTCTGTATGTCTGTGTGCGAGTATGCGAAAAGTCTAGCTGAAAAACGAAAAGTTTTACGAAACTGACATTACGTATTTAAGATAGGTAAATGACCGAGATGCTGCATCAACTTTTCCCTTAAAATCGGCTAACCCTAAGTTCCACTGTATATGAACGGTGAAACACATTTATAAAATTTTCTCATAAACGACTCTAACGATTTTGATTAAACTCGGAGTATCATTGTATAATTAAGTGGTCGTTATTATCATTTAGGTCTTATCCCAATTGATGTCACTTTACAGGATTTAAATGCCCAATGTTCATACACGCCTTCCTCTAAAGTATCTGTAATATGGTTTATTTAAAAAAAAAAAACTCTCTTTTATTGACAGGAACTATAAAAAATGAAATATAAAGAATTTTAGAAATATAATATCAAATAAATAAAGTTGTAGATGGTAACGGAAAATGACGAAAAAATATAAATAATAATTTTCTAGTCTCATCCTTCAGGTTTGGTGCCATTTTCTCATAATTTTTTATATATCTATTCTAGGCCAAATGTCACCAAATATACACAGTTTTTTTATCTTCTGTATTTTCTAATCAACGTTTCGGCTTCAGGAGCCATTTTCAAGATCCTGCAAAACTAATTTTAATTTAGAATTAATCTTCGAATACATCCTTATCAGACACATATTATTTAACAACCATAAGTAATACAATCAATCAACATTTATTTTTAATTTTGAATAAATTTAAATCATCAACCTGCCATGCACCGCGCCATAAAATTTTTAAATCTATCATTGCGATATGATTCGTCCTCAACTCATTCTTTTGTTTCAAAGAATGTCGTTTTCCATTTCTAAAAATTGTAATATATAAATAATAAATTAAAATAGATATGAAAATGGCTCCTGAAGCCGAAACGTTGATTAAAAAATACAGGAGATAAAAAAACTGTGTATATTTGGTGACCTTTGGGCTAAAATAGATATATAAAAAATTATAAATAATAATTTCAGAAAGCTAACATTATTTAACGTAAATTACATGTCTCCAAGGAAATCATATGGAATTTCCATACTAAATTTAAACTTTTAAAGTTTGAAAAAAAAAGTATTTTGTGCCAAAGCCATTGTTTAAAATACTATTTCATTGTACTCGTGTAAGAAAAGAAGTGAAATATAAAAATATTTCATAGATTTATTTATAACCTTGAATACATTTTATGTAGTTTAATAACTCTAGATATGATATTATATTTAAATAATCAGATATCTATTGGCCGTTTATTCCAAAAAATCATCAAGTAACGCTTGAGAAAATTAAGTTAATGAATAATTATATGAATTTTCACTTTTGTGAAATCCTCACATTATCCACTTACAATTAATGTGATAACTTTTGACCTATCCATGGCAGGCAATGAAAATCTTTTAATTTCATTTTAGTAAACTTTACAATGGAAAATAACAGTTTAATAACTAATAGTCCTACAATCCATAATCATTTATTGGTTAAATAATCAGATGTACTTTCAAATCATTCGGTGACAGAATGACTAACTCCAATTTCAACATTCTTTATTAATAATTTTACTGATGTTTCTAGTGGCAAAATTTATACCTTTGATCACGGATATATATTTCAACACTACAATCACCTACTCTGGTATCAGCTGGCTGTCTGTATGGATATAACTTTTCCAACTAAAAATATCACTAAAATGACATCACTCAAAAATGTTGAAGTTAGGGTTATTCATTCTGTCAACTGAAAGACACTCAGATCAGAGACTGAAGTTATGTGGTTTATAGAAGCAGATGGAGTAACTAGATTTTTATCGTCTAACGTCGATATAATAAATAGACTTTTTGTTATTTTAATAGCGTTAATGATTTGTTATCTGTAAGCTTTAAGCTTTAGCTCCGTTTAAAATACACTTTAAAAATTTCATAATAGCCCAACATGGCCAGAAAATAATTTATTTTCAAAGTAAAGCGGTAAGGGAAAGTTGTGTGTTACGTGCACCAGATTTCTAAGCTAGAAATCAAGAAAACCTTCTCTAACAGTTTTATTTTATATCTTTGGTTCTATAGTTGTACGGTGTGGGGTCGTTCCATTTCATCTAGTATATAGAGCCCTAACTGTCTAATAATAATTTTCCTATGAATCTGTGGAGCGGTTCTGAAGTTTTTGGGGTTGTTGGCAAAATGTCTGAGGATCCTGCCAAGGGAAAAAAGTATAAGTTAACGATTGCTATAAAAAGTCGTATTTAAGAGTTTTTTTGAAGTGGCGAACAACGAATATTAACTTTGTTTCTCTCTAAAAATATATTTAATCATTGTTACGTTGATTGGTCCGATTTGTGCCCATATTGTGTATATAATATTTTGTTTCAAAACCGGTTTTATATCTGCAGTAGAGATTTTAAGTAAAGTGAAGATGAAGACGATAATGAAAATACAATAATTGATTGATTTTTTAAATATTAATCCATATTTTAGATTTTTTTATTGATTTATTAGTTTATTCTCTTGATCTTTTTTCATTAACTGGAATTCCTTCCTCAAACCTTACCCATAGTTTTCATGTTAATTCATTGATCAAATTTATTCTGTGACTAACTCGATTCTGAGAAAAAGTATCCGCAAAGCGATCAAATAAAAATTAAAAACGGTATAAATAAGTTTTTGTTTCATTAAATTATTTCTGTGGTTGTATCCTAATATAGTTATTAAATAAATATATAGTATTTGTATGTAGAATTTGATCTAGGCTAATGAAAAATGTATATGAACGCTGTATTATTTCCAAATCACGCGAATAAATGATCGGTATATCATTTTTGTAGTCTGTTGGATATGATTTGATGTAAGGATAGTTTTTTACCCAGTCTGCTAAGATATTTTAGAAAAAAATACTTTTTTTTTAGTTTTTAAGAAATTTATTCTTTGAATCCTACAGATAATGTTATAATTCTTGATTCGTTGGTGTCAACAACTACCACCATCATTTCAATTAAAAAAAAAAAAAAAATGGCTCAATGATATTTACCTCAATAAAACTTTTATCTTAAATGAATAAATGTTTTCAATTATACATTTTCAAGAAAATAATTGATTTTCTATATATATAGTATTACATCTAAGGTCTTGGAAGGTAATATATGTAGTTGTTCCCTCCAGGCCAAATAAGCGCTACATATATATATATATATATATATATATATGTGTGTGTGTGTGTGTGTGTGTGTGTGTGTGTGTGTGAGTGTGTGTGTGTGTGTGTGTGTGTGCGTGTGTGCGTGCGTGCGTGCGTGCGTGCGTGCGTGCGTGCGTGCGTGCGTGCGTTCGTGCGTGCGTGCGTGCGTGCGTGCGTGCGTGCGTGCGTGCGTGCGTGCGTGCGTGCGTGTGTGTGTGTGTGTGTGTGTGTGTGTATTTGTTTTATAGCTATAGAGGTAAAGTTAGATTTCAGTTATCATTTTGGTAAGCTCGAAGGATTTCGCTAGTATTTTAAAGTTTTGATCATCTCAGTCCTCAGTCTCAGTCAATTAAGTTATAGCATTAAACATTTAAAAGTCAACTGAGTTGGTTTCAAAGTAGTGCATTTTGAGGTGTAAACTTTTTTGTTCTTACATCTTTATCAATTTGTTCAAATACATTCCGAATTAAAATCAATAAATTAAAATTTGTCAGTTTACTGATTTAAAAAATTCTATTAAATTTTCTGAGGTAAGCATTAATAAAACAGTTAAATTACCTTTCTTCTATTTTAGTCTGTCACCCTTTTATTAATTATAAATTGTTGATGATAGTGTCACCCTTTCATTAATTATAAATTGTTGATGATAGTGGATTGATGGTTGACGCAATGAAGTGAAAATTGAAGAGAAGTTGGTTGGGGTGTTCAGTCAAAAATACATAGTAAAAATAAATATCATTTCTATTTTTACAATAAATGATATTTTTATAAATAAAATATTTTTATTTTTACTTTGTATTTTTGACTGAACACCCCAACCAACTTCCGTTTTTCATTTCAGTAAATTGGTAGTTGTAAATGTAATCCTTGTTGAAGTGTAACAAAAAATTTTAGTAAATGCGTATAAAGCATGTGTAAATCTTAACTTATGAAATAAGTTGTTGATTACTGTTGAAAATTTAATGAATTCACTTTAAAATTTATGAACTAAACCTAAGTTGATATTTTTTTATGTAATTATGGAATTGTGTATAAGGTTTAATGTCATGATATTTTAAATGATTTAACTAAAAATCTTTTAAAAAAATTAAATCTTCATTAACATTTTACTTATTTATTTGTAAAATTATAAAATGTTTATATAATATAAGCAACCACAACGAGTAACAGTCCGATATATTTACCTTCAGTTTTCTTCTTTCACATACCACAACAATTACTTATATCAACACATAGTTAAAACACATTGATGAATAACTTAAGGAAGTATTATAAATTAAGACTAACAATAACTATGCAATTTTGGCAATTAACATTTTGATCAATGTTCGATCACGAGATGAGTCTTTGAGTTGCTACCCTCTGTTGAAAAAGGAGCAGTTGCAAAATTTATAATGAGCCGGCTTGGAAGGACGATGTCTTCTTTAACGGTGCAAATCTCTTAAGGTTTCCTTTTCTCCTCATCCTTGAACCAGTTCTCACTGTAAACAACATGAGGTATTATAAAAACATGTTTTTACAAGGTACATGAATGGTATTAAAATATCATTAATAAATTCTATTGCTTATCTGATGTATGTGATATTTTTTTTAAATTTCTCCATATACCTTAAAAAAGGTATAAAGAGGAATTTTGAATCTTTTATACTACGTCTAAGTCAATTTTCACTTTAAAAGAAAAATATATATATAATTCAAAACAAAATTTATAATTCAATATAAATGGTGCTACATATGTATACAAAAAAATCAATATGTATATATGATCAATATGTATCAATTTGATTTTTATCATTGCTTTTCTTAGATATTAAGTATAGGCTGTTATTTGACAACATGGAATGACCTAAATGTTATTTAAAAAATATCTGCTTATATGTATAACACATACACATAGAATTTTGAAATATGCTACAATATGATTTTGTTAATTTAAAATATGTTCCCTGAATTCAACATACTAATTGTAATGAACTTTTTTTTTTAACGATATAGTTAAAAACAAATTGTGAAATGCAATCATTAAAAATTGAATTTTTCTACATAATTTATTATTACAGTTAATTTATACATGAAAGTTATCTAAAAAAACATTTTTTTGATTATTATAAAAACAAAAATGCACGCACACATACACATTTTAAAAAAATATTTTAATACCATATTACTAATTTAAAATATGCACTTAAATTTCGTATAATAGTTACAATGAACCTTTTTTTTAAATTTGTTTATTATAAACTCGATGTCAAAAAGGAAATAAATTTTCTTAAAGGCGTTTTGTGTCACTTTCCATAGGTCTTGAAACGAGGTAATCGGTTACGAATAGGTACCATATATTTGTTACCATACGGTGCAAAACACGCATTACACGAAAAACCTGATAAACTGAAAGTTATGAGTGTGAGTCCCGGTGCCAGGGGCCTTCAACTGTATCATTAGTCTTTTGCCCTTTCTCTTAGCCAGGAGAAAAACCCGTATAGCCGAAAAGGCGAGGTAGGGACGAAAAAAAAGTTCGATTTAAAAAAAAAAAATCGTTGCTCTCTTATTTATTTCATAACAAAAAGTGGTGCTGACATAAATGATGTAAAAATTAATGGCTACAAACGTCAGAAAAGAAGTATTTGTATACTTGTTTATTATACATTGTTGAATGACCAGCATTGCCCAAATGCGAGACCAAGACGAGTCTTGGTCTTGCGGATCCAGTTTGGGCTTGGTCTTGTTCTTGCGAAAAAGTCTCGCAACAGTCTCTCAGTTACCTATTAGCTAATTACTATAGAAATATTACTGTAATTTTTAAGATAGAAGAAACCTAACTAAGCCCCAATGAAAAATTAGAAGAGTTAAATGCAAAAGTATTCTGGTTATACTTATCCTTTACATATATTAACTAAAATTGTCAAGTATTAGTAACAATTTCGGCTTAATTTTTATTCGAAAAATCGGTCTTTTTTACCAGCCTTGGTCTTGGTCTTGCAACAGTTAGGTGGTCTTGATCTTGGTCTTGCAAAGTGTAAGACCATGACCGATTTTGAGCAACACTATTAATGACTCTATTTATTTAATTCACTGTTTATTTTACTTTTTACTTGTAACTCAATATTTATTAAAACTGATGCGATTGATTTAGTAGTTAATTAGGTGTTGAAAATTTAGAAAATGTAATACGGTGATCTATTAAAGGAGATCAAGATCCCAACGAAACTATAGACAAGAGATGCCAATCCTCTCCCCTAAGATTGGTGGCTCATGACCTCTCATCTCATGAAACTTTTTTTTTTTTTATTTGTACTTTCATTGATGTTCTATTTTGCCCTTTCATGAAATCTTATTGTATATCATTTTAAAAGCAGTACAAGCTAAAGTTAAATTAGATAAAAATTATAAATACATTTTCTGTGATTGATTCCATGTTTTCTCACTTATACCCAAAATTGAAACCCCACAAAAGTATGGTTACTCACAAAAAGCCATAATCCCTCAAAATGTGCCGCTTCTCGAAAATTCAAAACCTTATAAAAATCTGCCCATATCAAAAATTTAGATGGCGCAACTTTCTGGATCTCTGTGCTAAATTTTTTAATAATTTAAGAACTTGATAATTTACCATCCAGGAACGTTCTCAGGTTCGTCACACATGAAGGTCTCCTCGTTGTAGACCTGTCCAGCCGAGCAAGATCCGTGTTGGGGTGTCACTCCGTTCCTGCAGATGTAGAATTTCTGGCAGTCGTCTGGGTGTGGGAAGGTAGGGTGAGGCAGAGTTCTGCCGTTATGTCCTAACACGTCTCCTTCAGGGCAAGAGAATCCGTCATCCAGAGCATCTGCAAGAAGTAATGATAAGTATCATGTGAGCTGCATCAGATTTGTTTTAAAATTAAGAAAAATAGTCTGCCAAATGGATCAACACAATTTCCTCATTATTCGTATTATGTACACAAGAAAAAAAAGAAATATAGAAGGAAAAAATATATATCAAATTTGTACACTATAAATTGTCATCAACTTTAGACCAAATTTGAAGTGTAATTTTTGATCATAGTGGTGTGTTTTTAAATGACAAGTAAGCACCTCAATACTGTATCAAGAAGCGAATGCTAACTTATGTTTGAATTAATAATTAAGCGTTGAAACCTGACATCTTTAGCATAAATTGCTATCAAATTTATTATTGTAATAAGGAAAAAAGATGTATCTATTACTTGGCAGTGCATGCGTTTGTAATAGCGTACAACTCTTAAAAATGAATACTCGTGAAGGCAGTAACGGTTGCATAAAATTGGGTGAAAAATCGGTGTAGTAATGCATCATAACTTAAGCAATAGCTAGTTGGAATCAAGTGATGTGTGTGTTTACCAACCTATTCATTCTTAGTAAGAGGACTGACAAGTAGGAGATTGTGAATTTATTGAATGGTTTGTTAAATGAAAAAGGCTATAATATATTGAATTCTGATCGTTATCCATTTGCTTCGAATCACTTAGTCGTTTGGGTATCAAGAACCAATTTCAATCATCATTTATATTTAAAAAAATAATTCATTACAAAAGGCTTTCAATGCAGCATTGGTGTCACTTTATGTTCGGAAATACGTAAAACGACCAATGAAATATTAATTTTCAATTCATTTTGTATTGATGGGTTGTTTAGGGGTGGTCATGCTTAAAGCTTCGACATCTTCTATTTGGCTGCTCGGGTCTTTTTTACATTGCTTCATTGCGTGATATTTAATTTAATGTGACAGAGATGTAATACCAGCAAAACATATGTTTTACGAAGACAGCTGCTACCCATTCCCGGTCGTGCAAACTCATCTTCATCTGATGACCGTTATTTCATATTTTCTCGCTTATTTATTATTCATTTACCTTGAAATGATAAATCCATTAAATTTTTATTTTAATTTATTTGTTTAAACTTTATTTCTTTATAAGTACGTATCCGACACCCGTAAGAAGTACTAACAATTAGCAAGTCTGCTGCCGAGAACAATACTGGTAGTGGCTTGATCAGCGTGGAAAGAGAAGCCGAGGAAATCCCTCATCCAGATTCTTTTGAGCTTCTTAAGCGTGTTTTCGGGTATCTTAGTCGTGGTCATGTCTTGTATGAGTGTGTTAGGATGTCCATGTATTGTTATCGTGAAATATTTTCTAGTGTGTTGTATATGGTCGTTAACTGTTGTCATGTTTAGAACTTTATGTAGAGTAATGTTTGTTACGTACTATGGAGCTTTATGTATATTCCTGAAAGTTTTTGACTGAAAAATTTGTAGTTTTCGCATGTGGGTCGTTTCGGCCGTTCCGTATGTTTGTGAAGCGTTGGTCCATGTAGGCTTTAGTAGATAAATGTAATTGTTTAGCTTCTCTTTTGAGTTTAACTTTGATTAATTAACATAATAATAATTTTTAAATTATAATTTTTGAGTAGTAACATATGATTTTTAATGCTTCCATAAAGGTTGTTAATAGTCACCGTTGCTCTAAATAAATTATCACAGAACGGAGCATTGTAAAAAAGACCCGACGGCACTATCGTGTAATATTGACGTTAGTGTTCTATGTGGTTGATAATACCAAAATGGCTCAATGTAAAACAAAAAATTTGGAATTTTACAGAACTCCACGAAAGAAATCATGATAGGATCCTATTATTGTAATTGAGACTAGGTGGAGGAAGGATGAGGTATTTATTTAGTAATACTATTATATTGAAATATTATTTACCTTAAATACCGTTATGCAATTGTTGAGTTTTATTATGAAGGGGAAAGGTGAAAGGACGACATAATTAAATGCATGAAGACCTTCTTAAGGCACACCCAGACTCTATGAACTGGAAAAATGTGCCTGAGGTGCACGATCGTGGCCAAATTATCCCCTGTTTGCCAACAGTCCTTCTTTACCAAGTCCTGACTGCAAGACCCTTCCTCGTGTTGTAAATTATTTTTTAAATTAATTTTTTTTTTTTATGAACATTGTACTATTTCGTACCTTATCTCTTTAACCAACCACCTTCTGCATTATTATTTTTCCCACTGGGCGATAATGGATAGGAATCGGTTTTTAAAAATTGACATGTATCATGTCATGTTTTATTTTATTAATCTATTTTTTTTTTGTATTTTTCACTCACTTTCCAAAGTATTGGACTTCGACTCTTTTTGTTTCCAAGCTCGAGCATTCCATATATATATTTCTCTCCTCCTTTATACGGTTGGCTCCTGACCGGCAAGCCTGAAAGATAAGAGCCGATAAATGATATACCGGTAAATGATGTAAGTGATTCGGTACAGAGGTGGCTGTGACGTAATTATGTCACAATAGCTGGGAGGTGGTTGCTAACTGTTTCCCGCGGCACCGTTAGGGCAAGGCTGCTCGGGCGTGGTCTCTTCTATCTCTGTCAGCTATCGCTTTTAGGAGAGCTTGACTTTCTCGAATTAGTAAGTAGTAGTCTTGCATATGGATATCCTCGTCCTTGATCTCAGCTGTCGTAGCTCTACATCGTGGTCATAAGTTGTCCAGTTGCGTTGACCAATTTCATTTAAGAATTAGATATATTGGATGGAAAGATTAACTTCCACCCGTAGTGACATGAATGAAGATAAAATGCAAATTAACGATAATTCACAACTACTTTTTTTAATTGGGTTAACAACTACGTCTTGATTGTTTAAAATGTCCTATTAACGAACTAATCAACGCTATGCCAATTTAAACATCATATTGACCCAGAAAGATTGGATCAAAGAAAAGCAGAGATAGCATATCTCACATCAACAGACAGTAAAGACTAATCAGTGACAGTACGTCACTCCAACAAAATTTCATGGAATTTCGCTATTCCATATTGGAATCCTCTAACTTATTCTCTCTCTATGCGTGATCTTATCCTTTTCTATCATACTGTTTCCTGAAGTAGTGAAACAATGACTTCTTTGTTCTTCCCTGATATTTGAAGTACTTGTTTTGACATCTTCTAACAATACCTGTAATTCTTGTTTCTATACCTGTAATGCTATTAGGTTATCAATTGGATCCTTAGTTAGAGGGAGTAATATAACCACATATATCTATGTTCCAAAGCTCTACTTTCAACAAATTGGAACAAGAAAATATTGATATATGAACTAAGGAACACCTAGGAAGAATTTGAAAAATTAACTGAAATTCCTGTGAAGGATTTATAAGGCTTTGAATTTCACTCTCAGGGCCGGAACTAGTGGAGAGGGAGCAAAAGAGTTGCTCCAGGCGGCAGAATCTAGGTGACAGCGCATTTATAGCGAATTTTATTTCACGTTAAATAAATGATTTTTAAAAATCTTAATTCTGAAAAAAAAAAATTAGGTTATCTTTTTTGGTATGATGTGTATTATGATATTTATTTTGAGGAAGTGCACCGAGCTGCTCCAAAAGAATACCCCGTTTTATTGTTCCTAAAAAATAAATCCAGACATTCTTAACCACATATATTATTAATGAAGTACAGTAAAAAAAAGTGACCATTTGTTAGTGGCAGTGACATGCGCGAATCCAATGTGCACTACCTCACGAAGGGGGAAGGTGATAGAATGACATAATTAAATGCATGAAGACCTTGCTAGGGCACATATTCTACAAACTAGGAAAAAATGTGCCATGACTGCAAGATCCTTTCATGCGCTGTAAAACAAATTTTACTAAAATTTATTTCTGATTATATGGACATTGTAAAATTTCGTTTATTGTTCAAGTAACTAACCATCTTTTGCATTTTATTTTATATTTAATATATACCTCTCCTGGAATAACCCTATCTCCCAAATTACCCAAAAATCCATAACTGTCCTTAAGCAACTCCTAAGATTCCGTGATTGTATTCCTCTAAAAACCAGACAGCTCCTTGTAACCTCCCTTATATTATTCCTCCCCCCGTTCGACTTCGGCTGTTTGGTGTAAGGAGGGAGGGCTATCTGCCAGGCTAGAAATGAGACTGAAGAAACTCATGAACTGTTTTAGAAGATACATCTTCGGGATCCGCAGGCGTTCGCATGTATCATTCTGATACACCGAGTTGATGTGGCCTTATCCTACTTCCCGATGACAATTCTTCCTTGCTGTTTTCCTTTTTCAAGTTCTCAGAACCAAAAACCCTTCCTACATCCTGGAACTCCTTACTCTACGCTCTTCTATCCTCTAGGTCTCAACTTATAGATTTATATATCCCCTCCCATAAAATTACTTCCTTCTGCAAATCCTTCGTCATTCGTGCCTACCTCCTTTTGGAACTCTCTTCCTACCTCCATACGTCAATCCTCGTCCACAAATTCCTTCAAACAGCTCCTGTTCCACCATCTATTCCACATTCAAACTTCCGCTAATATGTAAAAGCAGTTGTATCTGTATACTGTATAATGTCAACTATTGCACAACTGCAATAATAATAAGCAGTATATTAGCTTGTATTTTTTATAATCTTAGGCCAGACTAATACCCATAAATTTGTACCACTGTTATTATTCTTAGGGGACTGTAGTCCCAGAACAAAATTATAATTATAATTAATAATTAAAATTTCAAGAAAACTAAGATTCTAAAGATATACTACTCATAATCAGAATTAGATTTTTAAATTTAAGAAATAGATCCTTTGATGAGAAAATTACGTATTTCATATATGATGGAATTATTATTGCCCCTTCTTGAAATTTACATAGAAAAATCAAAGAAAAAAAATGAAAGTAACGCGTAAGAAAATTACATAAAAAGTAATCAAATATAAATCTGCTAAATAACGTTTTGAATGCTTTGGTTGTTTTTGAATAATTGATGTAGTAGTTAACAGTGTT